GAAAAATGGAGGGAGGTTGACAGATTAGACCATGGGGTCCCAAACGGATTTGTCCCACTACCTCCTTTTCAGGAAACAAACAAACAAACAAACAAACAAACTTACTCAGCGCTACCCGCCCCTCCATGGCAATTAAAATCATTTGTACTGCAGCTCATCATCCAGGATGTTTAGGGGGCTGTCCCAGCCCCCAGCCCCAGGGTGGTATTGCCTGCTTCGGGGACACGCTGGGCTGAAACATCAGTGGAAGTGGGAGGGAAGACTGGTAGGACCTAGAGATGGATCGGATGTTATGGACAGAGGAAAGGGAGGGAAAGGGGTCATTTTGCTTGGGTTTTTCGCTTGAGCAGTTATGCCCATATCTGAAATGTGGGACTCTGGACGGTGGGGGGCAGGGTGAAGGGGAGAAACTAGTGTTCCATTTGGTAAATATTGATGTTGAGATGCCTGTTAGATATCTAAATGGAGCTATTTAATAGGCCCCAAAGGATGTGAGTCTGGTGCTCTGGGGGAGAGGCCTGGATTGTAAATACAAGGTTGGGAGTCACCAGCCTAGAGATGGTATTGAAAACCACGGCATAGGGCAATGTCCTTGAGGGCCGCATATAGAGAGAAGCAGAGGGTTTAGACACCGCCCCCCTCCCCCCGATATTCCCTTTTGTAAAAATGAGGGGGAAGAAATGGACCCAAGCAGCCAGTGAGGAGCAGGTATACCAGGAAGGCGGGACAGAGCCAAGTAGATGTTTCCCGAAGGCGGGCATACGCATCTGTGGTAAATGCTGGTGAGTGAGCTAAGAATGGGTAAGTGTCTGCTGCCATGTTGATCTGACGGTCCTTGTGGACAGTGGCCGTTTCTGTGCGTGGAGGGACGGGCTTCTGGTTGGAGAGGGTAGGAGCAGGAACAGGAGGTGAGATTGAGCCGCGGACAAAGCAGACAGTCTGTTCGATGGATTTCACTGTGAAGGGAGTAGAGATGGGGTCGTGCCTGGAGGTGTCTGGGGAGTGGGCAGGCCAGTCAAGGCTTAGCCGATGTTGTTTTCGGCTGGGAGATACCAGAAGATGTTTGCATGATCCAGTAGAAAAAGAGTAATTGAAGAGGAGGCGCCAAAGAGGAAATTGCAGGGGCCAAGTTCTTGCACATTAAAGAGGAATCCAGAGGACAACAGATGTCTTGGCTTTGGGGGATGGAAGCCGACTTCTTTCTCTCATGTAATGGTGAAGGAGAAGAAAATTAGTTCAGATATACATGGACGTCTAGGTTTAACGATGAGAAGATAGGAAGTCTCCCTGGCTGAAAAGCTGAAGGAGTGGGGCCTATGTAGCCCATTGGCATAGTAAATTTATCATACGGTTGCTAGGCACTCCTGAATGCCTTGCATTTGTGGTTCCGAATTTAAGATAAGGCTGGTCAAATTGAAGACGTGATTTTATTTTTCTCACACAACATCCAATGAGGGTTTGCCAGACTCTGAGGTTAATAAACACTAGGAAAGGGTAGTTGGAGGGTCAGCACAGTGGGTTTCTTTATGTGGTCTTTTGCCTTGATTCTTTAGAAAAACAATTTGGGGGATTTTTCCCTCCACTACACCCTGAGGAGCTTGTGACCTTTGCCTCCGTTCTCTGGAGAAACAACATGGATTTGGGGCACTTCTAGGTTTTCTACCTCACGGGGTTTGTTCTTTGTGACCCGGGGATCTAGATCGATTAACATTTTTCTGGCTCAATGTAAGCAGCTTGATGTTTACCTGCTGGTTGATTAAGGAGACCTGCGTTGATTGGCATCTCCTGGGTAAATGAGGCTTGGTAGCATTCTGGTCTGTTGAGGGATCTCACGGGCCCAGTGGTGGGAGATATAAAGAGAGTGCAGAGGCTCGTGAGACCTCCTGGTCGAGACAAGATGCTGGCTAAGAGCAGGGCTGGCAGGGAAGCAGAGCCAGGTGGACACCGAGTGCTCCTTGAGGTGCTACTCTGGCTGTGAGCCGGGGCAGTTGGCGTCCCAGAGGCTGATGATCGAGAACCTTCTACAAGCAAACTTGTGTACTGACCATGAGCTGAGTCCGCTCCAGCAGAGTGGTCAGTGGTGGAGAGGCCTAGTGGTAGCGAGCAGCTGAGAGCTGTGGCCCTGGCGGTGAGCTGGGTTAGTTAGCAGTAGGATGCAGAGAGGCCCAATGGTGAAGAGCTGTTTCCAGAAGAACAGCAGCTGAGAGATGAACTGGCTATGACAGAGGTCGATGGCAGGCATGGTGGAGAGTCCGATAGTGGAATGGTCAATGGCAGAGAGGCCTGTGTGGCAGAGAAGGCTAAGAAACTAAGACAGGGCCTGCTTCAGGAGAAGGTAGCCACCCAGAAGAAAAGCCGACTGTCCAACAGAGAAGCCGTGCTTGCCGGTCACTGCAAGAGGGCAATGGTGATGGTAGAGACAATCTTAGAGTTATTCCAGAGGAGAGCTTTTTAGCTCAGAGAGCTTCTGATCAGAAGCTGTTGTGCCCTAAAGAAGGGAAGGGTGTGCTGTCCACTTCAGGAACCCCTCCGGAATTTGTCTTAAAAGTGCCCCTGGGGGGCAGAGGAAGGGAGGGGGGGGGGAAATGAGCTGTTTCCGGGAACCCAAGAGGCAAGCGAATTTTGGGAATGATGAGGGCAACAAATGTATAGATGTGCTCTACACAATTGATCTATGTATTGTGATGAATTTTATGAGCCCCAATAAATTGATTAAAAAAAAAAAAAAAGTGCCCCTGACACTGATCCTGACTTGTTACATACACATTGATTCTGATCCTGAGTTCTAGCCTGTTATTTCCCTAATGAATCACATAACTGCGAGTGTGGTGTATGAACGTGACTGTGGCCATGTGTTACTGAACTCTGCAGAGAAGTAGAGCGTGCTTTGTGGGGAATGGTTGATGTAAAAATGGTGAAGAAACTGGAGAACAGAAGTCTATCTGACCTCTTCCTCACAGGAGCCAGCTTTGTGCTGATTCTGATGGTGAATGTAGGTGAATTACAGAGGGCCATGGCACCCACGCGTGATAAAAGAGGGATGTGCGGCTGCCGAGGTGGGAGAGGGGAAGGAAATGAGAGTGGCGGGTTTCCCTGGGCTGAAGAAGTGAGTGGAGGATGTATCAGAGTAAGTGTGCTGGAGGAGGGGTGGTGCATAGCGAGGACAGGCTTGTGTGACAGTGAGGCGGGCTAGAGGAGGGAGGGACTGAGAGACTGAGGAGTGGCCGCTGCAGGCACACATAAATGTCTATGTAGAGCTCTCGATACTTAAGACTTGCATTAGCTTTTATTTTAAGCTGAATTCACTCCTGAGCTATAAGTTTATGCTTTTTCAGTTTCTTCTGGGAGATCTTTTTCTTCTGTGCACTCCCTCTTCTGGTTTAGGACTAATCTGCTCCTTGTCAGTAAGCATCCTTTCAATGTGGCAGGGGGAGCTCATTTATGGGTTGAGCCGGCCAGGAGCTCTGGAAGTCTGGCGGCGGGCCCGTCCTGGGGGCTTTGTTCACCTGGATGTGCTCAGTGACTAGAGTCCACATCTAAACCCTTAAGTTCAGCATGACTCTCTGCATTTTTAAGCCTGTGTAGCAGCCATTCAGCATCTTTTTGAGCCATTGACCCTGTGTCCAACCCCACTGTTTGGGCTGGGCACACCTACCAACTCTACCACTGTAAGGTTGGATCAGCACACACTGCTTCTGCAGAGGGACATCTTTCAATTACTTGGTGGCCTTTGCAACAGCAGACCCTTGGTGGCCTGGGCAGTTTCACGGGTGTTCTTAAAACGGACCCGACGATGTGAACCTCTCGATTTGCATGATTTTGTGGCGTTTCCTGTGTCAAGTGAGTAGCGAACCATTTTGGCGGATCACCTTCAGGCCGCTACAGGGGGAGCTAGCTACATGTATCTTAAAGCCCTGGGATAATGCTTAGAGTGAGGGTGCAGGGGCGGACAGCCAGTGGTTGGGAGATAAGCGGCTGTATCAGGGCTGCCAGCACGTAGCAAGAGCAGGCGTAGATGCTTGATGGCTTCGCTAGCAGCAGAGAAAAAGACACTCCTCTCATGCGCTGTCTCTGAAGAATGTGGGGGTGAGAAGAAAACAGGTGTGCAGGGGAGGTGGGTTCTTCAGTGACGTCAGGTTTCGGTTAAGGCGAGAGGTAAGAGACTGCTCAGGAGAAATTGAGCATTCGAGGGCGGAGCAGGAGCTGAGCTGGCATTCCCGTGGAGGCAGGAGAGGTATCTTGTGCTTGACCGAGGAGGAAAGGCACAGTTAAGAATTTAGGTAATGAGAAGGCAGAGGCACCTGGTAGGGTGACATAGGACCCACAGGGGACTGATTTGTCAAAGAGAAGACAAAATAAAAAGTGAGGCCATCCCAGTTACGTGGAGCCATCTGAGACCAGGTGCTTCTTTTGAGGAGAGTCAAGGGCCTTTAGAGATGTCGGGGGGCAAGTAGGCCTTGGGAGGCCTCTCAAAGGTCAAGACCCTCTATTTATTCAGCACCGGAAGCACAGAGACTGGACCAGGAATGTTCCTCGTCCAAACCTGTCTGAAGGGGACTTGATCCTGTTAGGGAGTTTAACCCGGTGCAGACTGGACTCCTCCTCCGCTACCAAGTACTGATCCCGCTTAGTGACGATTTCTCCCTCAGGTGGCTCTCCTCCTCCCTCTGCATTGCACACGGCCCCATTCCTCCCGTGTACCTGTCTGCATCTTTCCGTGAGTCTTTCCATGGTAAATGCCTCATTCAGCAGCATTCAGATTTCCAGAGAGGTTCTGTAGCAGTCCAGCCAGGGTTTGGGGTCAGGCCATGGAAAACTGCCTTCGTTAAGTGCCTGACTCGCTAGCTGTCAGTGGCTGGAGCCGTGGGTGAGGGCAGAGCAGGCCCAGCCGACATCTCAGGTGTGGAGGGCAACGCAGGCCAGTCTCTTCCCAGGTAGGGATGTTGTGGGCCTAGTGGGACTCAGGCTCACAGGCTCATTCTGCTTTTTCTTCTTGGCAGCACCGATGTCTTCATCTGTACCAGCCCCATCAGGATGTTTAAGTACTGTCCTTATGAGAAGGTAAGACGTAGATCTTGTTGTCAGGTGAGCTTGGCCAGGTGATGGTTAAGGAGCATGGCCCCCCAAGGCCCAGCTGTAGGGATGTGGACACTGTTCCTGGGCTGCAGGACAGCCTGGTCTCTCCTCAGTGGTGCATGGCTCCCCTCCTATCTGGTCCTGATCCAGGGCTTCGTACTGCAAACTTCTTGACTGCTCATCTGAAGGCCCGCTCTCCTTCTTTGGGATGGAGCCTGCTGAAGGTACAGGCTCTCCGGGAAGGGTGATCCATTCACATCTTAGTAAAACGTACTCGATTAGCTCATCCTTGGTGTAGAGTTAGCTTTTGAAGGGCGAGCCAAAGAGAACATGGTTCCCTGGAGACGGATTGGAGGCAACCCAAACCCAAATATTAAGAGCATGCGAATTTATTTACGTGAACATTCTTTTAAAGATGAAGCCATTACATCACAGTTTTCTATATACCTATTTGATCATGTTAATTGTAAAGAAATGGAATGACATGAAACTGAGGTTTCCTGGAAATTGGGGGAGTGAGGCTACTGGACCTAAAGTCAAGGTCTGTTGCCCTGGAGAGAGGTATTGGCATCAGAGATGGCCTTGAGCCCTCTGAAGGCTCTGAGCAAGTCCCAGGAGGGTGGTGTTTGAGCCCTAAACCTTGCCTGGTCTGGGAGCTCTGTGCCGACCTCCAAGCCTGAGCTCTTCGCAGGCTTTTCCAGTTTCTGACGCCACACTCGAAATACAATGTGCTCCTTGCACTCACACTGCATGCCAGCTGTACTCGTTGCATGGAAAGGGCGCTCACAGTGACAGAGATTTTAGGATAACATGATGTGAGGCACTTGGTGCCCATCCCTCTGTGTGCATCCTCACAGTGTTCTGAAAGGGAGTTAGGCTTGCCTCCGTTTGCCATGTAAGGACATTGAACGTGAGGAAGCTAAGTGACTGTTACCCACAGCTGGTGATTACAGAATTAAGATCGGAAGCTAGGTGTACTGTGATGCGGCCTCAAAAACTTTGTGGAAAATTCCATTATCCGTCCTTTTAGAAATCCCACAAGCTGTTTGAGACCCCCTTGTATTTCTAGTAGAGCCGTGCTCCCAGGCCAGCGGGTCACCTGGAAACTTATTGGAAGTGTACATTTTCCACCCCACTCTACTCCACTTCCACCCCTGCATTTTTTATTTTTTGAAGGAAAAAAACCTGCAGGATCTGTGTGTGTGTGTTTTCTTTTCTGGTGTTAACTTGTTGTGAGGTACCTTCAAGTCAGTCCTGAACCATAGCAGCTGTTCACAACACAACGAAACATGCACGGTCCTGCACCATCCTCACAGTTGTTCCTGTGCCCGAGCCCATTTGAGTTAGTCTGGGTTGATTAGAGAAACAAATCCATGGACACTCGTATATTAAGAAAACATCCCAGCCCAATTCAGATCAAATCCATAAGTCTGATATTGGTCCCGATATCTCATACCAGTCTAAATATATACATTTAGGAAATATATAGATTCCTCTTCAGACTCACGGAAGACATGCAATGAAGCCAAATGCAGGAAGATCACAGGCCAGTGGGTGGAAAGTCTTGTAGATCCAGTGGCAGTGGAAGCATCTCAGCACTGCCATGGGTCTCCATGTGGCTCTTCCAGCTCCAGGGCTCTGGCTGCATCTGTGTAGCTCCTTGTGGCTTGTCAGCAGGAATGTCAAGCAGAGTGTGTGTGTGTCTCGCCTCCAGGGAGGAAGACAGAAGATCCCAGAACCCTCAGGAGAAGGCCACGCCCACACAGAGGCCTCTTTGACTATGACCTGATGGACAGGCTAGGCTCCACCCCTTCGCTCAAGTTGATTGGGAGATTATGTAACCGCCACACCATTGTTACAGCCACTGTGCCACTCCGTCTTGTTGAGGGCCTTCCTCTTTTTCTCTGCCCTTCCACTTCACCAACATCATGTCCGTCTCTAGGGACTCGTCTCTCCTCACAGTATGTCTAAAGTATGTAAGATGTATACAAGTCTTGCCATCCTGGCCTCTAAGGAGCACTCTGGTCTTCTTCCAAGATGGGTGGATTTGTCCTTTTCACAGGCCATGGCACTTTAAATATTTTTCACCAGCACCACAGTTAAATGCTTCATTCCTTCTTCAGTCTTCTGAATAACAGTGCCCAACTTTCACACGCATAGGAGACAATTGAAAATACCATGGTTGGGTCAGGCACCCCTTTGTCCTCAAAGTAACCTCCTTGCTTTTCAGTACTCAGAAGGGGTCTTGTGCCGATTTACCACCTTCTGATCTCTTGAGTGCTGCTTTCATGAGCGTTGATTGTGGATCCAACCAAGACAGAATTCTTGACAATTTCAACTTTTCCCCCATTTATCCTGATGTTACCTATTGATCCAGTCGTGAAGATTTTGGTCTTCTTTACATTTATAATCCATACTGAAGGTTACAATCCTTGATCTTCATCATCCAGTGCTTCAAGTTCTCACTTTCAGCAAGCAAGATTGTGCCATTTGCACATATCTTAGCTTGTTAATAAGCCTTCCTCCAATCCCGATGGCCCATTTGTCTTCATCTACTCCAGCTTCTCTGATGCTTTGTTCAGCGTACAGATGGAACAAGAATGATGAGGGGACAACTCTGAGGCACACCTTCCTGATCTTAAACCATGCGGTCTGCCCTTGTTCTGTTTGCACAACTGCCGCTTGATCCGTGCACGGGTTCCGCCTGAGCACAATGAAGTGTTCTGGAATTCCTCTTCTTTCCAAGGTTGTCCATTGTTTGTTATGATCTACACAGTTGAATGTTGTGGCATCGTCAATAAACCACAAACAAATGTCTTTCTGGTATTCTCTGCTTCGAGCCAAGGTCCATCTGACATCAGCAGTGTTACCCCTTGCTCCGTGTGCTCTTCTGAATCCAGCCTGAGCCTCTGGTAGCTCCCTGTCAATGTACTGCTCAACCATTGTTGGATGATCTTCAGCAACATTTTACTTGCATGTGATATTGTTCCATAGGTGGAGCATTCTTTTGGGTCACCTTTCTTTGGGATGGGCACAAATACGGGTCTCTTCCAACCAGGTAGCTCTATTCCAAAACTTAGCGTGAGTGCTTCCAGTGCTGGAACATTTCGATGGACAGATATTCCATCCCGGAACCTCGTGCTTGCCTACTGCTTTCCATGCAGCTGAGCTTCTTCCTTCAGCACCTACTCCTGTGCTCCGTCTTCAGTCAGGGGGATGTGCACGGGTTCTTTCTGGGACAGGGACTCTGTGTCTGCTCTCCATCTTTGGATGCTCCCTGCATCACTCACTGTTTCGCCCATAGAATCTTTCAATATCATAACTCGAGGCTCCAATTTTGTTTTTCTTGAGTTCTTCCAGTTTCAGACATGCTAAGTGTGTCCTTCCGTTTTGAAAAGTCACATTTTGAGCACCCTCAGACCCAAGGGGTCCACCCTCCAGTGATATATATATAAAAAAATCTGTCATTTTAACCATTTTACGTGTACAATTCAATGCCATTCATTTCTTTCACCATCTTGTGCTATCGCTACTTATCAGCAGGCTGTTTTTAAAAGTCTGTCAGGTGATTGTGAAGCACCCTGCGTTTAAGAACTCACTGCCTTTGAGTGAATTCTGACTCATCAAAGCCTCCCTAATGGACAGAGTAGAACTGCCTTTGTGGGTTTCTGAGAATGTAAGTCTATACAGGACTAGAAAGCTGCCTCTTCTTTAGTGAAATTTCCAGTCTTCTGTTTTGCTTTTTGTTTTTTTCCCATTGAGTTGTTGATCTTATTGGGTGGTGAGAGTTGTTTATAATACTCCAGATTCAAGTCCTTCATCACATAATGTGTTTTTACAATTATTTTCTCCCAGATTATGGCTTGTCTTTTCATTTTCTTAACAGTTTCTTTTAAAGATCAGAAATTTTATGGATTGAGCTTTTATGTTTAGGTTTTGTTTCATCTTGAGTCAAATTTCATGGATTGTGGGAGATAAAAGTAAAAGTTCTTAAAAATGTTTTTCTCCTTTTTGAGGATGGATTCCTTTGTTGGAAAATGTAGTCTTTTCCCTGCCAAATTTCCGGGCGCCTATATCGACAATCAGTTGGCTATATTTGCTCGGGTATGTTTTTGCAGTATATTCTGTTCCTTGGACCTGTGTGTCTGTCTTTGTGTGAACAACCGACTGTGATGATTGAGTTTTCAAGTAAGGAATTACAGAATCAACTTGGCAATTTTTACAGAAAGCCTATTGGGAATTTGATCGAACCTTCATTGTATCCAGCTCTGGTGGTGCCGTCAGGTAAGCATTGGAGGGCTAAATGCAAGGTTGGTGGTCCAAACCCACCAGCTGCTGCACGGGGGATTCCATCTGCACCCGTGAGGATTTACATTCTTGGAAATCCTTTGTAGGATGGCTTCGAGTTGGAACCAACTCCATGGCAGTGGGTTTGGTTTGATTCTATTGATCTTAGTGATCTTGAATCTTCTGATCTGTGAACATTGCATGACTTTATTTATTGACATCTTTAATTTTTTTAAGGCATGTTTTGTAGCTTTAGTACATAGGGTTTTGTTTTTTGTTTAATCATTTTAAAATGGGGCTCATACAACTCTTATCACAACTCATCCATCCATCCATGGCATTGTATAAGTGAATTTAGTACATAGGTCTTAGACGTAAAATTTTGTTAAATATATCCCTAGTTAATTTTTCTCACACAATTATCTGTAGTATTACTCGTATTTGTTTAACTTCAATTTCCAAATGTTTCTTCTTTTTAAAAAAAATCATTTTATTGCGGGCTCATACAACTCTTATCACAATCCATACATACATCAATTGTGTTAAAGCGCATTTGTACATTCGTTGCCCTCATCATTCTCAAAACATTTGCTCTCCACTTAAGCCCCTGGCATCAGCTCCTCATTTCCTTCCCCTCCCTCCCCGCTCCCCTCTCCCTCATGAACCCTTGATAATTTATAAATTATTATTATTTTGTC